ATGCATCAGAATTATTTTTAAATAAATTATTTTTTCAAGTCTCTAAAATTCTGGATTAAATGTTTTCTAATTGTATATGTACCGTACGTTTGTGGGGTTTTGTTTGTAAGTCTTTTAGGGTGAATTCACCCCTGTGCACTGGAACAGAAGGCTGTCATGTCTCGGGTCTCATGTCAGGTCTGTTCTCTGCTGGATCCTGCCCTTCCACAGCACCTGGGGGTTTTCTCCAGGTGACTGGGAATTGGGTTTCTGACACTGTCCTCGCTTCCAAGCTGGGGATTGATCATGTTAGTGTAATAAAACTGAAGGGATGACCTGGCCGCAGTCCCTCTGATGGGTAATTAGCACTGACGCTGTGGAGAAGCGTCCAGGCTGAAGGATGGGATGTGGTACCTCAGGTGAAAATGAGGAGTAAGGTTTTATCTCAACCCCAGGTTGCACTGACAGAGGCAGAACCAGTTTGGTGAACACGAGCTGGAGTCCTGCATGGATATGTTTTACTGGTTTCAAACTATTTTATGGTTGTGATTTACCCTTGTAAACTTACTGGTGCAAGCCAGAGCCATGTCCATGAAGTTTAAATGGAGGTTAAGTTTTAACTTCACACCTTTTTTTTGCTGGTTTAATGGAATCAATTTAAAAGTACAGTGCTGGGGAGGGGAGCAGGAAATGTCCCCAGACCTGCAGGGGAGGGGCTGGCTGGATTGTCACTTCAGCCCTTAACCAGTCACTGGGGCAGCCCCTGGAGAGCTTCCTCCCACCCGGAGTGAGATGTATTTCCCAGCTCCTCATTGTCTTTGGCTTGGGGTGGGTTTCCATGACCCCTAGACCAACTTTCATGTGTGTATTTGATTTTTAACACTTGGCTTTTTCCTTGTGATGGACTGATAGAAGTGTAAGGGGCAAAGTCATTCTGTCTGACCAATAAAATTTATCTTTCATAAAGCTTTGGTCTTTTGTTTGTTTTGGTTTGGGTTTTCTTCTTTCTTCTTCTGCCCTTCTGGGAAGCCAGCTCCTTCCTTTGTTCCTGGAAGAGCAAGAAGTGTCATGGATATGTAGTTGGGACAAGAACTCAACTGAAACCTGTCAAATAAATAATAGTTCCTGTAGCACAAATGATTTTGTGGGTTGCTCCAGCTCTGTGTCTTCTGATGCAGCTGAACAGGGAGCTCCTGCTGTCATTGTTCTCTTCTCCTCCATGTCATGACCTGCTGCCTCCTCTCGCTTCTTACTCCCTTTGCTTGTTCTGGCTTTGCCTCTCCTTATCTTGCCTCATTATCTCGGAACAGCTTTGTTCTTTCTTCATCTCCCTGCTGCAAGGAGCAGATAAGTTTGTCTGGTGCCTGTGTCTGGGTCGAGCCCTTTTCCTGGAGTTCACCTCGGCGCTTCTCCTCTCCTGCCCTGCCAGGCTGCCTCCGTGTTGCTCCTTGACCGTGGTAGTCGCCAAGCTGCTGGAACAGGGATGCTTTGCAGCACCTGCATCGTACAGGGTTTGCTTTCTCATGCAGAGAAGATCTACAAGTCATCAGTGATAACTGGGGACCAAACATCAACCCATCCAGATATTAAAATACTTGTGTCACCTCCAGTGGAGAAAGAAACTCTGTCCCCAGAGCTCCTGTTTCCTTGGATGCAGCTCCTCTGGGTGGAGTGGAGGGTGATGCTTTTGGTATGCTTTTCCCATCACTGGAGTTCATTTGGGAAGGTTGTCCCACAGCAGAAGGTTGTGTATGTATTTAATGAGCATTCAGAATGCAAATGAGGGCACTTGGGCTGTTGGAGAGCATCCATGGTGGGAGTTTAATTTTTGTTTCTGGAAAGGGATGTTGTCCTGCTTCACTGGGTGGTCATTAATGCTGTGCTGAAGTGGGTGCTGGAGTGTAGCAAATGCAACCATGACTTTACATCTTCACCAGGGTTGGGTGACATTTAAATGGAGCCTCTTCCCTAATAACTTCAAAGACAAGAATGGAGTCACCATCCAGTCCTCCCTGGAGATAGATGCCACCTTTGGATTTCTCATCTGGGGACTCCTTAGGAGCTGTCAGCGCTCCCAGTGTGTGGAAGGGGCAAAGGTGGGCTCTTGCCTCAGCAGACCCCTGTTGTATCCCACAGACAAAGGTTATCACTCAAGAAGGGGACGTCTCTTCTATGTTGGGTGGTACCCAGGGCTGATGGCAGAGGTTTGACTTGGGGAGCTGCAGTCAGGACATGTTGGATGAGCATTATGGATTGAGCACGCAAAGGTTAGGCTGAGAGTGAAGGGTCAGGCTGGGTGAAGTGTGTGCCAGGCTGGTGACCATCTGACAGGCTGGGTGGTTGGGGACAGCTAAAGAGTCAGAAGGTGTCAAAGGAGGGTGTAGTTTGGGGTGAAAAGCCTCAAGAACCACTTCTGGTTTCTGTTGATGATGGTGATCCTTAGCAAAACCGAGGTGTCCATTGTCTTTGTGAGAAGGATCCCTGGACATAAGTTTCTTCACTACTCTTCTCCAAAGCAAATAGATGATCAAAGGAGGAGGTTGTCTCTGTGTCGAAGCCTCCAGCTGCTGCCAGGCTCCGGAGCTCTGACTTTGCTGAAAAGCGATGGCTGGTGCACAGCAAAACAGTCTTGATGCAAAGGTCATAGTAGGACACACTCAGCTGTAGCGCCCTGCTGGCAAAACCCCAGCTCCTCCATGTATTTCTCCACGTACTTTGGGTCAAAGCCACCAGCAAAGGCCCCTTTTGCCTCTGTTTTGTGTCCTTGATCACCTTGGTGGTGGGGAACAGTGATTCCAGCATTTCACAGTATCATTGAGGTTGGAAAGGACTTCTGAGATCATCCAGTCCAAACATCAACTCACCACCACCACGCCCACTAAACCATATCCCCAAGTGCCACATCTACATGTTTCTTGAACATCTCCAGTGATGGTGACTCCACCACTTCCCTGGGCAGCCTGTTCTATGTCTGACCACTCCTTTGGAGAAGACATTTTTCCTAATATCCAACCTCAACCTCCCCTGGCACAACTTGAGGCCATTTCCTCTTGTCCTATTGCTGGTTACCTGGGAGAAGAGACCAACCCCCATGTTGCTACACCCTCCTTTCAGGTAGTTGTAGAGAGTGAGAAGGTCTCTCCTCAGCCTCCTCCAGATTCATGGTCTCTTGATGCTCAGGAGTGGTGGGTGGAGGAACAGCAGGTGGTCTTTGTGCTGAGGGACTGTGGGGGTCTCTGACCCCTCTCCCCTTCCCTAGAGCTCAGCACCTTCCCCTCCCAGCCCTGCTCTCAGCCTCTGCTTCCGTGCCCCTGTCCAGAGGAGAAGGTTCCTGTGTCACTCCCCACCCTGGTTGCTGTCAGATGCATGTGGCATCAAAGAGCCACAGTGGTGCAAAAAATCCTTCTCTCTGTCCTCTCTTTTCTCTCAGTGTCATTTGGCCGCCCATTTCTCCCTTCCACGGATGGTCCTCAAACCTTCAACTACATTTTGGCCAGTGCTGCTGTCCTCCCAGTCACTCATGCCTCTGAGACTGTTCCTGCTGCTGAAGGGGAAGATGAGGCAGCAGCAGTTGGGACCCTCCTGACAACCAGTGGGCTCAGCAGTAGAAACTGGTGGGGAAATCACCTGATCCAGGTCAGGATTTGTGCCATCGGCAGATTTCTGGCCAGAAACATGGACCTTCAGCCTCTGGGCCAAATGCATCTTCATGGAAGGCAGCTGGTGGTGTCACTGATGGGGGTTCCTGTGTCACTGCTGCATCAGAGAGTGCCACTTGAAGGAAGGGGGAACTCCTCAAAATTCAGGTTAAATGATGGGCTGCAGTTGGCTGCCCTGGCTCCATCACCTCATGCTCCTGTACTGCTCTCCTGCCCTCCTATCCTTCCTGGGCAGGTGTCCCCTGGGTTTCAGTCTCTCCTGCCCTTCCCAAGCTCTGCTGTGGCTGAGAGATGGGTGGGGATAGTGAGATGGGTGTCACTGGTGGGAAGCTGGATCAAACTATCTGTTCCCCATGTGCCAATTAAAAACAAACCTGCCTGGGGCACCTGCCCTGCCGCCGTGCGGGTCACTTGGTCCTGCTCTTCCAGAACCAGGACTCGCTGCTCTCCCATAAGCTGCTTCATCAGCCTCCCCTGAGCTTCCCAACACGCACCAAAGCTGCTTCAGTTTTCCAATGACCCTGTGCTGACAGCGCTGGGGTCTGCAGCGGAGCTGAGACACATCACAGGTCACAGCATCTTGGCAGCTCTGATCCTTTACTGAACACTCTGGGCTTTGCAGGGTTTTGCTGCCGTCTGCAGCAGAAATGTTCCCCTTGCCAAATCTCCTGGAGCTTTGCCAGTTTCTCCTGCCCTTTGCAGAACGATTGTCCTCCATCTCGCTGGGTTCTGCTGTGTGTAATGTCAACGTCGCGTTACACAGCCCTGGCTTTCATAGAACCCCAGAACCCTAGACTGGTTTGGATTGGGAGGGACCTTAAAGCTCATCCAGTCTCAACCCCCCTGCCATCAGCAGGGACACCTTCCACTAGACCAGGTTGCTCAAAGCCTCATCCAGCCTGGCCTTCAACATTTCCAGGGAGGAGCAGCCACAGCTTGTCTGGCCAACCTGTTCCTTTCCAGTGGCCGTGATGCTCCTGCCCACCTCGAGGACCCGTTACCATGGGCAGGGCTGTACGCAGCCTTGGGGCTCCTGGCCTTTCCCATCAGCTTTACCATGGGACTTACCTTCTCCAGTCCCTCTGTTCCACTCTCCCTTTCATCTGCTCCCTGCAACCCTCCCTCCCGCTCTCAACTTCATCCCGTTTCCCGCAGAGAAGATGAACACAAGTGAAGGAGAAACGTGCCGCAGATGGTTTGCTTTGGGTCCCACCTCCCCGCAGCCCCTGCTCCCACACTTTCATCACCACCTCACAAAACAGCTGTGGGGACAGCTAATTAACTCAAGAGATAATAAATCCCCTCTTATGGATACTCCCCAGTCCTCCTGCCCTCCATTTCCGTGCGCTGCAGGATGTATCCAGCCCTTGCCGGCTGCAAGAAACACTGATGTCTCCTCCAAGAAAACCATGGGTATGGAGAGGGGGTGAGACCATGATCTTCCATCAACTCACTGCAGCAGCAGCACGGGCTTTGCTCAGGAGGGTGATTCATGGGTGGAAAAGGACCTTCCAGACCCACACGACTGCTGCTGGGAGCAGGATGAGGCCAGCAGCACGGAGCCTGCAGCTGGTCCACGGAGCAGGACAGTTCTGCAGCATCTGTATGGTCATTCCTGTGAGAAGATGGGGAAGGAGCCTGGGTCTGCTCCTGAAAGCTGGGGATGTCGGGAGGAGCTGGATGTTGTGCATGAGGAGGGAAGAAAGCACAGAGGGTCTGGCACAGGGAGGAGGATGAGGAGGTTCAGAAGGAGGAGGAGGTTCAGTCTCAGCCACATCAGGCTCTGACCCTCTGCTGATGCAGAGTAGCTGGGGATCAGCCTAGGTGATGGAGGTGTCCAGAGGAACAAGAGGAGAAGGGTCTGAAGAGTCCCAGAGCCCTGGGAATGCAGACAAGGCTGTAACTGCCACTGGGCAGCACTGGGAGACCCTCAGCATCTGAAAGGCTGTACTGGAAGAGCTGGGAGCTCCATCCCCACCATCCCCTCCCCA